ACAATAACAACAACAACAACAACCACTACTACAACAACAACAACTACTACTACTACTACCACTACTACTACTACTACTACTACTACTACTACTGCTATACAGGTAATCAGAAGTGTGCACTTCGCCTACCAGAATGGCAAGAACGTCACTTTGCACAAGTTGCAAGAAGCTTTCGTTTCCAGTCTGAGAAAATGCTGCGATCCGAAGAGAACTTCTTTGCCTGGCCACCGAACGCTGCAGTACTGTGCTGGCAGGGGAGACTGGAAGTGGAAGTCCGAGTGGTTGCAGGAGCTGCACGACTACAGCCAGCTGAAGCTCAGGCCGGGTAGCAGTCGCACGTTTTGCAGAAGGTGCCGCTGCACCAGCGACTTGCTGAACCGCCACTGGTTGGATGCCAAGCATTTGAGCTGGCACGAGCCTGAGCTGGTGGCGCAGCATCTGGATGAGTCGATGCCGGCAACACTGCCGCTGCGGAGCCTTCCAGGGTACCATGCCGATATGGAGCAGGCGGACACGCTCCACAACCTGTGGCTGGGCCCTGCCAAGGACACTCTGGGCAGCCTTTTTTTGGATGTGGTACAGTTTCATCCTCAGTTTACGGGCCTCAGCTGGGAGGATGGGCTGCAAGCACTCTGCCTTCGACTTCACGACTGGCTCTCGGAAGCTTCCTTGGATCGCTCATGCATAGATGAGCTCAGATGCTCGGACTATATACGTATGTTTTCTTTTCACGGTGCCCCGCCCCCCCCGCCCCCAGAAGTAAAACATATAGAACCTTAAACTTGAAACTCTGAACCCTATACCCTATAAAGCCCTGCATGCAGCCCTATAAAACCGCCAACCTCAAACCCTCAAACCGTAAAAACAAAAACGCAATGCAGTTGTTGGCCACCCCTTTGCCCAAAAGGCCTTTCGAAGCTTTCTGTGGATGCGCTGCGGTTCGACTTCCCGCAAGCCTTTTCCAAGGCCTGGAGCAACCGTGTTGGACTGGCTTTTGTGGCCGCCTTTCTTCGTGACACACAGGTGGACGAACTTAAGGTGCCCGCGACGTGTGCCTGGGCGGTTACGCAAGTGGGCATCACGATGGACAGAGCTGGAGTCTGGTTCAGTGAGGCGGAAGCCGCACAAATGGTGCAGTGTGGCTTGCTTTACGTTCAAAGCCACGTCTGGCTTGCTAGGGAGGCACTGCTGGCTGCCCGAGCTCGCTACAAGGTTCGCCCACGGCTACACTCCTTCTTGTGCGAGGTGGGAGTTTCCGAAAATTAGGAGTACCTT